GGTCAGTTTTTACAGTGTGATATGCCTCCTAACAAATGTTGCTAAAACTCAGTATGTCCCGCCGGACGGCACCATTTTCTCCGGTAATACCGGCCAAAAGGACAGGGCCACTTTTATGAATAAAAATATTCCTATACAGTTATCCTAAGCTTTCTCGATCTAATCTCCAAGCAAGCGAGACCGACGGCCCCTGTAAGCGCGTTCTTATCTTTTATCAAATCATGTCATGACGTTAAGGTCTCAAAATGAAGGCCCCGAGGGGGTGTCTCCTTTTTTGTCTAGGATTACTCTGGCGTATCGTTTCTGTGAATTGATTACGTCTTGGATGTGCGGCTTCGGTTTGCTTCATGTCTCGTACACAATAACCCCCGTAGTCAAGTATTAGCTGGATAAGTGAGTTGTAAAACAAACTTCTCAGCTTTCAGTCACAGAAATGTATCTGTTCTTTTCAAAAGGCGAAGTCGCTTTCCTATATTCGATACCGTTGTTTAAAAACAGTTGTCTATCTTTATGCCAGGTAGTTTAGTATCGGCTACAGAATCAAGCTGAACCTAAACTGTCCTCACAATAAGATTTCTGCCGTTCAAGCAGTTAGCCGAAACTTATGCTGTAGACAATCGCTTGCAGGGACGAGAAACTGAAAAGGAAGCAGCGTACTTACCACGGAAACTGCGAGGTACTGTTCTCTATGACTCAACCAGCAGTCAAGAGACGCTTAGCTTGCTTTTTCCTTCGTCGTCGAATCGCCCTTTAGTCTTTAAAGCGCATGCCTGTACTGGCGAATTATCACGTGGTCGATTTCCGGCAAATTCATTGGCTTAGAGGCAAAATCACCTTGAGATGTTGTCGAGAACAAAAGGCAGCTTTTTCTGTCGGTCCGTAGCGTTAACGTTGTGGTTTTGTTCCCCCATTGAGAGATGGACAATTATTTTGGTCGAAATGTTTAGTGATATGTGTTGTCTAGAGGATAATGTATCCCGGAACTGTCAGACAAACACAGTAGCTCGATCCGTTTAATCGAGATCAGCGTTGCGATCGGCGCTGGTTGCGAGAAGAAGACATGCTAAAAAGGTGGGTAATGTTCACTTTTTATGTTTAGTGCAAGTCACGAGAATTTATATAGCAGTTGAAGAAACGCTATTGAGCTTTGTTTTGGCGAGTAAGCGTGTACCGAGGTGCAAGGAAGAAGCAGTTTTATATAAACGTATGGACCGTTTTTGTGCCAAATTGTACAACTTGACTGTTCGATCTGTACAAACACATAAGTCACTGTAAACTCCTTAGAAATTTTATGCTTCATAGCTTTTATCGCAAAACAGTAAGACACGTTAGAAAATTTAAAAGCAGAGAAATTGCTTCGATTTAGTAATATAGCATAGTTTGCACCTAGTTGCAGGAAAGTGGCAGTAAATTACCGTTTCGGTGGATTAATTTTCATTCATCAAAACAAACAAATCTGTCTGTTCATCGCAGAAGTTTGTGCTTGGTCCAAGTCTCGTGCTTCCCGGCGGTATAAAAACGGAAACTTACTATATCGGTGGAAAGAAATATTCTTTGACTTTTTTTGGCACATATGGATTAACTTCCATTGAGCTCGCACAGAAGCGGCAGGTTTGTAAAGCACGTAGAGTTGTTTGATGCTAAAATTCGACATGATTTTAACATCTCAATGTTAAATTAACTCAAAGATTACATGTAAGCTTATAGCTTTTTAAAAAATGGACGATTGGTTACTATCGAATTTCGATCTTGCAAAACTCCATTTTGATCGATCCAACATTATTAGAAATTTCAAAGCTATCTATGCTAGAAATCTTTCTCTCTGCTGTGTTCAGCTATTGTACATTCCAACTTGCAATTAAAAAGGATCGACAAATCGATTATAGTATTCTGTATTTTAAGTTGGTTTTGGGATTATCCTCAAAGAGGCACACAAGGGTATACGTTTGGGTTTTCTGTGGTTACTTCTTTGCTTGTTGTTGAATCAATAACAAGGCAATGAAATATTGACATATGAATTTCCTTCATTTATTTACTTTTTTTTTCAGAGAAGATGAACTTGATCCCAAATCAAACGATAACTGCAGCAACACTTTTCGAAGTTTTCTGAAGGTGAATTAACTAAAGAAGATGCCGGTAGTTGGTCTTTGAAGTAGTACCTGTATCAGAGTGACAATAATATGAATTAAGATCTTACTCATGGAAAGATCTGGGTTTTTTGCTCCTTTGTAGTAATTTAGCATGTACAATAAACACTTCAGCAACCAGAACAAATTTAAAATCCTGGCACAGTTATTCCAGCCATTATGTTCTCTTCCTTTTCATATAGGGTGTTATTTCAAAGATTTTCCCCTCAAAATATTAGTTTATACTACCTAAGATTGTGACTAAAGCTTATGCTAATTTGAAGAAAAAGAAAACTAGCTGCGTCATGGTCAAGTACACCCCTTTGGACCGTTCGAGTCTAATTTCCAGTCTGATTTGCTAGCCGGTAGCATTTTTTTTTTCATTTATTCATCATCAATTCATCATCAAAGTTCATATGGGTTGTGGTGCATTACTGCATAGTGCACATTTTCCTCCGGTGCTCTATCATTTTATGAACTAAAAGAAGGCCGGGTTCACGCACTCGTGCGTCTTGTTAGCTCTAATCAATGGTCAATTTTCTGTACGAGTTATAGAACCGTGAAATCTCGACATTTTGACACTTTTCCAATCGTGAGGTAATGAACCGTACACCTACCAGATCATTCTTTCTGTTGACATTTGCTTGAAAAAACGATCTTTGATCCTAGCGCACTTGTAAAATGGATTCCAAATCACTGATATCGTATCAGAGGATTATAGTTTTTGTTTGATATTAGTCAAAAGTAAATCAACTGCGGTAAACTGAAGATACAGTCCAGTTCAGAACATCAGGTTAAATTTTCAAAGCTATTCCCGGCGTTGTTTAGCATTGGTCACCCAGTGAAGGCCCTTACATAATGGAGACCGTAAGAAAAGGATGGGCGGTTTTGAGTATTTGAGTTTTAGAGTCGGGGGTATTTATTTTTATTGCCTATTAAAAGCCATCTGTGCATGATTGTAAAAAGGCCATCGTTTATGATTTTTCCAAAAAACTGTTATCATTAAATAGTTTGGAAATGAATAAACTGACGATGAATGGCGAGATTTAGAATTTTAGACCAGACGTCACATTCCCAGTCAGTTTAGAAAAAGACAGTCGTCTTTCATGGTCACTGAACCGGGAATGGACCCGAATGACGCAGGTGTTTTGTAGGAATAAACTTCTTTCGTGGAAACAATCATATCGCTGGGCCGAAAAGTCCCAAGTACATATTTACTGAACGACTTGCCATTTCATTGTCTTATTCTAGTTTTGGCTTTAAACTAGGGGTTTTTCCTACTTATAATTCCGATTAGATTGCATTGGCATCTCTGCGGTAGCAGTCACATGAGTTTGACTTTGGGAGCCAGTTGCATAAATCTCAACGTGAGACACACCAGCTAATCCCTATTTCAAACAGTACAAATTATTTGCTAGAAATGCTCTACTTTTTCATCACCCTTATATAATTCTATCTCGTTCCAAATGCGCATACTTCTTTAGTTTTCAAAGAACTGACAAAAGTAAATAGAAATAATTTCTATTTATTTTTGCCATCTGTCGAAAAACGACTTATCTATTTATCTTTTCCACAACCTTAACCAGAGCCTTTAATACGCCGATGGAATGCAGACGAAAGCGGGTTTAAAGCGATCAAAGAAGGACTCAATTCCCTTAAAATACAAGGAAATATAGGGGGGAAGCGGCCAGAGAAGTCAGAGGAAGGGTTTCGTCGTGCGGAGAAGATCTGGAAAAGGTACCTACTGAATTGGGGAAAATTAAATGAGGGATTCGTTCGAGAAGCAATATCGTATGATTTCCTGACGGTGGCGGATGACGGTCGAGTCAGAAACTCGGGCATTCATGTAGTTGTTGATTATGTAAGCTTAAATGATTTTTATTGAGGGTCGCTGACTGGATTCAGCTGTACGGTGATGCTCTTCAGTCCTTCTCAATTTTCTAAACATCAGCCGAAGCGGGGTAAGTCTATTTCGGGTTCCTTTGTATCATCATCAAATGGATACGTATCGGTCGATACCGATCACTCGATCATTTTATAAATTCTCAATAACTGCTAATTGTGTGAAAGTGTAATGTTCATGGAGAATGTTGATGGAGATCACTATTTCTTATGCCTGATCGCACTGAAATAGTTCAGTTCAGTCACAGTTCATGATCAGTTTTTAAGTGTAGATCGTAGTGGATATTTTAACACTGTCTGATTAAATCTGTGAAGTTAATTGTTTTAAGGGTATGAGGAGTGTAACCGCATGAATCAGAGATTTTCAGTAAACAAGGCAATTGCACTTTTGAGCTTTGGTCAAACTCAGGTGGTTGAGAGTTTTAGGTTTAATGTTTAGACTATCTTGTTTGTGTTTTTGCGGTGACTCGAATCTCAGTTTGAAATGTCTGTATTTGTTTGTTTTTTTATTTTAAGTTTAATGATGAGAATTTGTGCTTTAATTGAAATTGAGTTTTTTTTTCTTATGCGATGATTTAAAGGTACTTGAAGTTATTCATAACTTGTGATCAATAATAGATGGTATAATTGTCAAGAACTTCCTTGAATGCATTTTAGTGTTGTTGAGAGAGATGGTGATGACCAGCCTTTAATTTTACAAACAAAACTAATCCTAAAGGAAACATTGATGATAGTGCATGTCCAGCGTTAATACGTTTTTGGTATGTCGATTTTAAGCGTGGTTTCTTAACCCTTAATTATGTTTTCGTGTAGCCTTCAAAATCAACAGCAACGGTTAACCCAGACGGCAAAACAGTAAAGTTTCAAGTAAATCCTGGGGTAAGCCACGCGGAGCTTGGTAGCCAGACCTTCACATACACAGTGGGCCTGATGCCTAGCCAAGGAGGACAACCGCTGACTGCCAACTCCACGGCAAACGTGGAGTTCACAAGCAGCGCTCTGAGCGGATGTCAGGACGGAAGAGTGATCGGATCGGTACCAACTGTAACAGATGACAGGTAAGCTTCTGAGTAACATCCAAGCCATAAACTAGTAAATACACTCCCGTAACCTCCTGCCATAACCCACCCCTTAACTACCAAAGAAAGGAATAGCACTCATGCCTTCAAAATTTGCCGATCGTTGAAAGATATTCTCGGCCCTTTACGAAAATGGTTGCTTAGCAAAATCTGTAAATGCGGAGTTTCTGTGATGGCACAACTCCTTTCAAGTAGATTTTCACTTATACACCTGTATTCCACGCTTGTTAAAAGTGCATGCGCTTGGAAACCTGTTCATGCGATTTTAAGTTTTCGATTAAAACTAGTGAGTCCATTTTTTCTTTTGGGCCTTTCCTTAGTCTTGTTTGCTCTTCATGGCTATGCCTTTTTTATCATAACGATCACTTTCAATTGTTGGTCGTTTCAGCACGCAAAAAAGCTGGGTAAAACAATTGTCCGGAATTTATATTTCCTGCATTATAGGAGTTTAGAGGGTACTTAAGCAAAACAGTGATCTCTATTTGTCAACAACATATCAGGTATTCTATTTAAAAACACCTTGTGGTGTGTAATATGGAAAGACTGGTGTCGTGAATTTGTCAATATCTCTCACTACCATCACCAGAGTTCTCAGTTCTCTCTTCTGTCAAATGATCCTCCACGTCACATCCTAATAGCGTAATATCAATTCTCGACACTGTTACCTTGTATCTAGGAGAGGTTACATCGGTAGCTCCGCTTTTTTACCCCCTCTTTCATCAGTGATCCATTTTACTGGTATTTAAAGCTACTTAATGCTATATGGATAGAAAAACTGATTCGAATGACAGGATTTGAAGTAAAGCCTGAAAAACCAACTTAGTACCTCTCGTACAGAAGACCCCGCACTGACTAACTAACTGTGCCAATTCTTTCCACTGTCAAAATGAACCTATTGATGAATTGCTGCATCCTGCCTGACTGATCCTGAATGATGGTCTGTTTCACTGACTTACTTAATCACAAGCGATTAATTACGCCTCAATATATACCTGCCCAAAATTTGGACTGAAATCACTAAGTCTGCGCGCACTAATCTTTGATTCAACCTGCAAAATAGGAAGTTAGTTATCCGAATCGCAATGAGAAGCCGCAAATACTTTTTAACGACAATTTAACCTTCACTATAAGGTAATAAGAAAAGGATAGAAATTGCAGTCCCCGAACGTTGGCCAGTTATTTCTTTGTCAGCTCAATAAGATAAAACGCAACCGTTTTATGCTTAACCTCCTAAGCACAATTTTCTATACAATATTCATTCGAAAAAACGCCGTGGCATTTATTAATTTTTTAGCGTTTCCGATGTGGCGTTTATATGTACAAGTGTAGCGTTCATATCAAAATCACATTTGACAAAAATAACTACGATAAACCTGATTTGCAAATACTTTTTAAAACAGAAAGATTTCCAGTGTCTTGTTTTTGTTTTTTCCTGAAATGGACTCGTCATTGTCTGGATGGTGTAGATTACCAAGTTGTATCGAATTTTTTCTCAAATTCCTTGAAAAAATCCCGTATTTTTCTGATTGGATGCCATGTTTTTAAGACGAGGGCAGCGTTTATTGGTAATATTGCTTCTATCTGCCGCGTTTAATCAAGGGCAGCGTTTAATCGAGTTAATGCAGGAGAGAACTTATTAGCAAACGTTACTTATCTGTTTGGAATAAACAGACTGAAAGCGCTTAAAAAAACAAAACGCTGATGCTGGTAGTCCAGATCTGTTACTTGAGGCGTACCTGCTGAAATAGTTCATTGCTGATTTTTCTTGGTGATGGCCTGTTAGCGCCTGCTGCCATAACTATACCGTCAGCGTACATTGGAGGAGCATCACGAATCAGATCCTCTTGGGAAGCACCCCATCTCACGTGAACTTTATTGTACATTTTTTGGTCTGATAACGGTCTGACTTTCACCCTCTACTCCCTGTAGTGAAAATGTAACCTTTTTTTGCGAATTCTGACTTGAATGCGTAAATGAGTGAACAATTAAGATCTCCATTGCGAAGAGAGAACATTGCCACTTGCTTAGTCTTTCTCCCAGGCTGCTGAGGAGCAAATATTTCAGGCTGCGCGTCCCCTGGTAGCGGCTGAGATCCAGGCCATGACATTCCGCGAATACTTGCCTTCGCTGTTGGGGGGCACCACACACATCCCTCCTTATCAGGGGTACAACGACACCATAATCGTAGGCATGAGCAATATGATGTCAACGGCAGCCTTCAGGTAACAAACGCATTCTTATTATTTATATTTCATTTGAATATAGAGTGGAAATAGGCCCTCTGTAATTTTTGAGTGCGCTTTGCCATGGCTTCATTTCCTGTATCTCACCCCGCTGACCTAGACCACTGACGTCAGAAAAAGAAAAAAAACATATAGAATTGCGCTAACCAGCGCACTGAGAAAACGAAGGCGTTATGTCTAAAGGAACAGTGGTGCTTTATCGGCCGGCAGGGAGGTGAAAAATGAAAATCGCCTTTTTAACCTCTTAAAAAAAGTAATATCAAACGTAAAATTCTCATTTCTTTTCCCTATACATTTTCTTTCAACACAAATAGTGGGAGAATTTGTTGAAATATCAATTAGATTCACCTTCTGTGATCATGTGCTCAATTCTAATGACCACTCTGTTTTATAAAGCATTCATGATATTGCGGATCACTCTTATTAGGGCTGAAAGGGTTAAACTGAGATTATGGCAAACCCAACAGCTGACACAGCTTGGATCACAGCGGTTTAAATGTATTGCTATTTTTACCTGTAGATTTGGCCACAGTCAGGTCAACACTCACTTGTGGAGGTATGAAGAGGATGGCACGATGTCTCCGTATGGACACGTTTCTCTAAGAGACGTTTTCTTTTCTCCATAAAGAGTTAAGAGGGGGGAGGGAGGACTGGACCCTCTATTTAGAGGAGCAGTCAGGCAAGCAACTCAAGAGGTCGATTTAAAGGTTTGTAGTGTGACAGACATGGAATTACTGTGTTCACCAGCAGGAACACATCAGACCAGTTTTTCCAGTTAGTTATTACCTTACAATCACAAATCTTGGTAAAAAGTAAAACCTGGGGCCCCGGTTGTTCAAAAGAACTCGGATAGTGTTATCCGCCGGATAAATCGCTGTCCAGTGAGCCAGTATTAGGAAAGCCAATAGCATTATCCGATAGATAATGATTTATCCCGTGGATAGCACTATTCACCTTTTGAACAACTGGGGCCAGGAGTTCAGTTGTAAACTTATGTTATTTCTGACGAATGAGCCTGCGAAGAAGACAGAAATAAATATTTTGACGGCACGAGATACAACAGGGGCTGGGTACTAGGCCGGTTGCACCATGGGTAGCCATATTGGGGGTATATAAGGCTGCGTATATCACGTGTACGTCATCTAGGCTTACGAACCACCCTCTCTTTGGTTTTTCTTTATTTTTGGTTTATTTATTTTAGGAGCAACATATTCTCGATGACATTGTAATGTCCCGTAGGAAGGGCTTTGAGCTTGAGCCTTGGTTCCTACCCAGATTTCCTACCCGCATTTTTTCCCTTCGGGGTTTTTTTGGGCAGGTTTTTTCTGGCCTCCGTCTGACCGCACTTACTTCAGTTTGTAAGCGGTAGCTCAGCTGTGCTAGTTTTCAGTTTTTTCCCGTTTCTTATTTTATGTACTTGTACAGTTATCTTAGTTTTGCACCTGCTCCTTTAATTGATATATTTAGTTTCTATGTATGTCTAGGTCAGCTGTCCCGGAACCGCTTTTTAGGAGGCGACATAAGTCTTGTTTGATGCAGTTAGGTTGCAGGCAATGTTACAGACTTCTAGCCAGGGTCGTTATCGATTTGTTTACTTTCAATGTCCTGCCCTAGCCTTCTATGGCAGCCTTACTGGTTATTGGGCTATGTGCCTTGTTGGGTACATTAGTGGAGATAATTCCCAGTTTTCCTGGCACTCAGCCTCTGTGCTCCTGAAGTATTCCCGGTCCCAGTTATCCGTTGATCAGAGTTTTATTAAATTTCCCCAGCCTAACTGGCAGCCTAACTGGCACTAAGCCTGTGTGCTTCTTTGGGGACTCAGGTCGAGATCGACCAGTTGTAGCAGATCTCTCTTTTGCTTAGCCTCTGTGCTCCTGCCGTGTTCCCTGTGCCAGTTACGCGTTGTCAGAGTTTTATTAATTAGTTTCCCCAGCCTAACTGGCACTAAGCCTGCGTGCTTATTTGGGGGATTTAGGTCGAGATCGACCAGTTATAGCAGTTTTTCTTTTTGCTTAGCCTCTGTGCTCCTACCGTGTTCCCTGTGCCAGCTATATGTTGTCAGAGTTTTATTAATTAGTTTCCCCAGCCTAACTGGCAGCCTTACTGGCACTAAGCCTGTGTGCTTCTTTGGGGACTCAGGTCGAGATCGACCAGTTGTAGCAGATCTCTCTTTTGCTTAGCCTCTGTGCTCCTGCCGTGTTCACTGTGCCAGATATGCTTTGTCAGAGTTTTATTAATTAGTTTCCCCAGCCTAACTGGCACTAAGCCTGCGTGCCTTTTTGGGGGATTTAGGTCGAGATCGACCAGTTATAGCAGTTTTTCTTTTTACTTAGCCTCTGTGCTCCTACAGTGTTCCCTTTGCCAGCTATATGTTGTCATAGTTTTATTAATTAGTTTCCCCAGAATAACTGGCAGCCTAAGTGGCACTAAGCCCGCGTGCTTAACTGGGGGATTCAGGTCAAGAGCGACCATTTGTAGCACGAGTTTTTTGTGAAAGCTAGTTTACGAGTGTTGTACATTAGGTATTCACCAGTAATCACCTATTATTGTCATTATTGTATTTACATAAGTACTTTGTACGGTTGGTTCTCGCCAAGCCGTCCCAAAATAAACTTATTTGCCATAACGTTTTATCTGTTGATGTTGTGTAGTGGAGTCAAAATCTCTCATTTTTCTCACTAACTAGGACAATTAGACTCTTGTTTTGAAGAACGGATTTTCCAATTACTTTTGTCACCAATGGCACATTATAATCACCGTCGTTGTCGTTGTCGTCGTTACCATCACCACCGCCTCTTCCACCACCACTACCACCTCCACCACCATCATAATCATCATTATAAGTATCATCATCATTATCATCATCATCATCATCTTAGTTATGCTATATATCGATCGATTCAGTGTCATTGTCAAGGAAACCGTTACTGTCACTATTTAAGTTAGCGTCATTGGCAACGTAATTAAGTCCTGAAAAAGTACCAGAACCAGCTCACACCCGAAAATTTTAAAAGACCTTGCTGAAAGGCGGAGAACAAATGCTGGCCCCGTTTTGAGTCACTAATCACAGTCCGCTGAAACTATTACCACTGCCAACCAACTACCTTATATATGTTACACTGAGTTCTTCCGATGGAATCTTGAGCCATTGTACTTTGCCAATTAGTTGACAAGGACTATAGCCCATATTATCAATCATTATTTCTTATCATAAGATAAGTTAATCCTGAAGTTTTGATTATTTTTCAGATGGTTGACGACATGAGAAATGTCTTGTTTCCTTCTGGTCGTGGTCTTGGTTCAGATTTGGCGTCGAAGAATATCCAGAGTGGAAGAGATCATGGTTTACCAGACTACAGCACAGTGAGATTAAAAGGTAGGAATTAAACTGACTCTAGGCTACTGTTCTAGACAGTCTATGTCAGTAAGTCTGTCGGTAAGTCTGTCGAGCGGACGGTCGGTAACAGGTTGGTCCACGATTCATTAACCTGGTGACTGAAAATAAAAAACCAGTAGCCCATCACTAGGGTCATAGACTGCTGAAATGACTGACTCCTTATCTTCGATTCTGTTTGTCTCCTTGAGGGTTAACCAGTTTTTCAGAGATCACCAAAGACTCCGAGGTTGCATCGAAGATGAAAGACCTTTACCAGGACATAAACAATGTTGACCTGTGGGTAGGAGGATTGGCTGAAGACCACGAAGATGGCAGTGACTTGGGGCCAACGTTTAGAACGTTAGTGCAAAACAATTCTTTTTATGTCTTCCCTTTATGGTTTCTGATTTTTTTCGTGGATATGGTCTTCACAATTGAGTCTAGGGGGCTAAACACGTGTTGATTTATTGCGATTTCGGTTGAAATTGAGTTTTAAAATCGGCGTAAATAGCATACATTCATTGTAATCCTGTCCATTCCCCCCCTCCCCCTCCCACAGCTAATATGGCGTCAGAAGCCTGAGATAGCTATCGGATAACCTTAAAATATTGTATTTCTCTTGCTAATGGGATGAGTCTATGGCTGTCAACGCTGAAGGGGAGTAATGTCTCTTCCAGAATCATGATGCTTAATTTTCTGCGAATTAGAGACGGCGACAGGTTCTGGTATGAACGCTATCTGTCAAAAGAGGTAAGTGGAATAATTATGTTTTACCATTACCGCTATAGACGCGATTGAAATATGGCCATAGTATGAAGAGAAGTCACCCGTAATCCTTAAACAGTAACCACATAGCCTCGTGCCAAAATTCAGAGAATCAAGAGCAAGCCTGGGAAGGAGTTTTCTAAGCGCATAAGGCACGTAGGGAAGAACGAAAAGCAGACGAGGGGCGTTAACCTTTACCGTGGATGTCCTTGGGTTAACTCACATTGGACGAATCGCAACCGCGCTTTTCAGCACGCTAGGGCATTGCAACATAGTTTCGAATTTTCAAAACTTTGCTGCCCTAAAGATCGTCGTTGCAGATATCTTTTCGTCTAATATCACCTTTACGCAAATAGGCACTCGGGTACAAGGCAGGTAACAATATAAATTACTTCGACCAATCAAAACAGAGTAAAAAATACAAAAACCAGTTACGCGTAGCTGAGCGAAGGGAAACTCCCCCAAGCCTCAAGTCGGAAGCTAACTAGCCAAAATGAACAACGAATGTCTGAAAACCTATACTCGAAAAAATTATTTCGTTGTAGACAGCAAACTCGCTTGTTAATTGGTCAAAGTTAAAAATTCGCCAGTCAGTGCAACTGCAATCACTTTATTCTCACTAGGCAAGATCGCAAGATTTTTAGAGAAGTTTCAAACTTTACAGGGTCTAACAACCGCCTAAGTGAAGAAACAAGCGTTTTAAAAACTCTTTTATTAACCGTTTGGTTTTTAATACCAATTAGCTTTGTAATAACGATATCTATTGTGTGAAAGGTTTGAACCCAGGAGTCATTTCAAAAGTAGGTTGAGTTTGATCGTCCGGGTGAACGCAGTCCTGAATAGGACTGTTGTTGTTGACAGTGACTGACGTTTCAACATCCTGTGCGGTAGTCATTTTCAGAATCAAAGTGAGTTATATACCAGAGTATAATACCATCAACTGACGTGATACAAGTCACTTTGATTCTGAAGATGACTACCGCACAGGTTGTGGAAACGTCAGTCACTGTCAACAACAACAGTCCTATTCAGGACTACGTTCACCCGGACGATCAAACTCAACCTACTTTTGATATCTATTGTGGAATCGAAGTGAAACCCCACTCGACTTTAAATTCTTACTTCAGTTTTGCTTTAACTAGATGTAAATTTCTTAATATAATCTACTTACAAAAGAGATTTTTTCATCTATTGAAGAAGAATGAAGACTCCTTTATTTGTTATTATTAGAGAAGCGTGACGTCACGTTACCATGGTAGCAAAATTTCTGGATCTCAACAATCCTTCTTGACAGAGACGGCCATTGGCATTGCCGAAGGATGGAAAAAAGTATGGGCTACCGTTTTGTTCCTGAGTGCAATCATGCACAGGAGACTAATTCCTTTTCAACTTTTCGTTTTCTTTCTGCCATATTTACAGGACGATGTTTTTTTTGAGATCCAGAAATTTTGCTACCACGGCAACGTGACCTAACGATTTATCCTCTCTACAACCCTCGACACTTCCAGAACATTCATACTCAACGTTCGTTTGACATTAACAGGAAATCGACAAGGTGAATTCAATGACGTTAGGCAAGTTAATCCGCATGAACACTGGATTCAAAAGCGCACCAGATAATGTGTTCTTCTCCACGCAATACTGCGCAGGCGTGAAAGATTTCCAGTGTGTGCCAAAAACTGAAATTCCTTCGGTGACGGAGGCCACAAGTAACGCTACAAGGAATGCATTGATAGCGATAAGTGTTGTCATGTCTGTGTTGGTGGTTTCGCTTGTAGCCGTCCTGGTATGGTTGTGGTTCCGTTCTCGGCAAAAGAGAAAGATCATCACAGTTAAGCCGGCGCCAGGCAACTGAGTCATCAATTGTCATATCTCGGAAGCACTTAAAAGCACAAAATATATGAGGGCGGTGCCCAAGTATACGTACTACTCCCTTCTATCCACCTTTCCGCCGACTCCAATGGTAAATCCAAGGGTTTACATTGGCTATGTTCCCTCTTGGAAGTAAACATAAAATGTGAACTTGCAGAGGGATAGATATCACTGTTGTAGTTTGGTATTGCACGCTCTTCATAAAAATTGTTAGCCTGCTTCAGGTGGTAAGACTCTAGTGATAGACTCCTCAGTTGATTCTGCAATAACTGATCTAAGCTAGGAGAATGTGACCCGCGAGAAAATTTTATCGGAGTGAACAAAACTGCGGTGCGTAAGTGAACACTTAAATTCTTGGTTCTCCCACGAACTTGGGTGAGAGACAGAAAGGAAAGAGAGAAGGATAAACGGAAAGAAAGAAAGAAAAAATGGAAGAAAGAAAGCAGAAAGGAAAATTAAAATAATACTGATATCACGAAGAAACATCTCAAAAAGCTAGCCCTTAAGTAATGTTTTTCAGTATCTTAACACTGGGACCAGGCTAACTTTTGTTAGTTGTTTTAGCCGCAACTTAGTTCACCTCTCGTAGAATAATCAGCTTGAAAGTAGCTGTTAATTATAACTAACTACTGCCATACCATACTAACAGGCTGTAACTACTATAATAAAAAGACTATTCCTTAAACAAACTGGTAAATGTTATCTAGGAAACACTTTTTTGCAGTTTCGATTTCTACATCGGAGAATTTTGATAGCTGCAAAGGGATTGTTCATAAAATGAAGTTTCTCGAGAGCTTGAGCTTAAGTCTTAGTCAGAGCAAACTCTTCAAATATAATAAACAGGTAAAAACAATTATTTTCATTTACTTTCGGAAGAACATGGAACAAAGGATATCATATACCAGACCCTGGTATATGGCACATGGTATTTGTAATCCAGTGACTGGGAAATAGAAATTGTGATAAACTTTTAAAGTACCCACGCATTACTCAAAACTACAGGCGGCCACATCGTGCACAATTTTGTGAACACAAATGGGCTACTGCTCAAATTCAAAACAGAACAAAAATATACTACAATCAATTTACGCGGCATTTGTTACATTTCAATTAATTTTTCGCTTTTGAAATAAACTGCAATTCCTATAAGACAACATGCTTGCCCGATGGGCAAATATCATACATTCACCGAAGAAAATAAACAGCTGGAAATTACAACCTCTTCCTCATTCGAAATATGTGTTGTGGTTCACTTTTATCCTTGGTTTCATATTTTATTTTCTTTTGTTTCGAACTCATTATCATATATTACCATACCCAAAGACAAAAGGAGATAAAAATTAAACCAAGGATAATGTTGAACCACAACATATGCAACCCAGGGTCTTTAAAGGGCTCTAGAGGAAGAAAATGAAGGTAGACTTCTTTAGCTTTTCTCAGCTTTATTCGCGAGATTCCCCATAGACCGAGATAGGTCTATCATACCTGTTTACCTTTTTAACCAATGGTTTAAAAAATAGGAATAATTCGTGACTACTTTAGAAATTTAATTCAATTACTTAAGACGGTCAGACCTATAAACAACTCTGGTGCACCCATCATCAACTAGTGCCTAACATCTACCTAGAAGAGTTCGCGGACGAAGCGCTAGATCAGCTAGAAACCAGCTGGTACAGATAGATGGAGAGATGACTTTTTAAACCCAATCACCAAGCTACATCACTGTGAAGTGGAGGAGTTTTCCAAGCATCTCAACTCCACATTCTTCTAACACGCTCGTCCTTTTCATTGCATCTTCCTTTACCAACCCAGTAGCCTGTCAGGTCTTTATATCGGCCTCTTTGTTTGAAATCGGTTCTAAGAGTTTCACAGAACATGCAAAGAAAGGACCACCCTTCTCTGCCTACTCGATATTCTTGTCTCCAACTGAAATATTCATTGTAGGCGGTATTGTTCTTGTCAAGGTAGTGGAGGTAGTCTGCAAGGTCTTTTACCGTCTTGAAGTCCATAACGTTGATATATGAACCTGGAATGGCGAGTTTGCTGTAGTTGGCGCCTCCTAAGACTATTGGTATGACGTTTTCATCTCCTGTAATGACGATAAAACCTCAAATAAGGGCCTTGAGACTTAAAATTTATGATTACCGTAAATCCTCTATTAAGCCCCCCTCTCAAATAAGCCCCTCCCCCCCTTTTTAGTGGAAGAAAGTTATTAAGCCTACCCCTCTTTTTAACCCCCCCGCCCCGGCCCATCCCTTATTCTCCACAACAAAATTACTAACATATGGAGTTATCCAGTACTGTTAACTCATATGATGGAAGTTCAGACTTGTTTTGATCTTTGGTTGCAAGACCTCTAACGTCATATGCTTGAGTATTTCCACTTTGCGTCCTAGTTCTTTATGGAGAATTGATACCATCCTTTGGTTGTTTGTAATAGCAGTATGGTGCTCCATTTCGGTTAGTTAATTAAGCCCCCCCCTTCTCTATTACCCCCGCGTCTACGTGCTTGAAATAAGCCCCCAGAGGGTTAAATAGAGGATTTAGAGTATTTAGTAAAATAGGCAGCCGTAGCGAATATTTCTTGCGGGTCTTGACATGTAGGAAGCTTGATTACCAGCCGGTGTTCGGAAAATGAGCCCGCGCTCCTTCACCCGAACAAGACCGGAGCCGAGCTTAGACATCTACAGTTAGAAGCAAAAGTGAAAAGAAAAAGCTACAAGCGATCTTTTGTTTTTCCTTTTCAGACATTTTACGTTCTTCATTTCTGACGGACTCAACCACTGAAGCTCGTTCGGCCTAATATGTGTAACACGCACTATGTCCAACCCATTTCAAAGAGAAAACGAAAGGCGTTGTTTAATCGATTGCCTCTTAAATGATATTTCTACTGCTGATTTTCAAACTTAAGTTAGGTTGTTTCAGCTTGTCCAGTCGTTTATTTCGCTATCAAATCGCTCTGTTAGTTGCTGTGTGTTTTATATTTATTTTTTTTCTTTTTATTCTTCGCTTTTTTATGAGTGTGTCATTCGATCGTGACGTGCATTTGTATTTTTTAAATATTTAATGTAAACAGCGTGAGATCTCTAGATGAGACCTTCAGGCTCTTAGAGCAAATGTTGTAATAAATATTGTTTATAAAAAAGGGGGGTTGGCGGGATGAGGTGCGGTGACACTTCTCTGTTATTTTTTGCCTATAATACACCTCCTTTACCCCCCCCCCCCCCCCCCACCAAAAAACAAACAACAACAACAACAAAGACTTGCTGACCTACATAAGCAATAATGTTATTTATAAATAAACTAAAAACTGGGCTACCATCAATTCCTATATTTCGTAAATAAGCTTGCTTACCTATACGGCCCCAGTACTTTTCAGTGATGTAGTCCTCGCATAATGCATTTTCAAAGCTAAGGTAGAACTTGTACTGTTTAATAATATTTCTGCAAGCTTCTCCATGTGGACAGGATTTTGATTCGCCAAATTTTCCCGAACACGATCCAAATACATCAACTGTAATGTACTTTTGAAGCTCATGAACAAACGAGTTTCTGAGATGAGAGTTACAGTTGCTAACCATCCAGGAAACCAGTTTGTCCTTCCCAACGGAGAAATCTAGTTGTGAAGTCTTTTCAAATGGGATCCCCCTATAAGACCCATAAGGCCACCAGAAGTCTGAATCGGATCTATACGTCATAGTCAAATCGAACATTCCATTCAAAGGTCGGGTATCAGGAGTAGCATTTGGACTTTCCTGTAAAAAATAAATCCAGAACTGCGACGAGGGCTTATTTTTCATTATCGTTTTCAGGTGATCCACACCAGGCATATCTCGGGCGTGGAATATGACAAATTCGCTTTCAGCATATCGCTTTTTATCGTACGTCAAATCAACCATGTCCTTACGGCAACTGTTTCCAGGTATTTCTGGTGAGGAACAATCATCAGTGATTTTTATCCACTCCTTAGTACCGAAGAATTGTGTATAAACCAGTATCACGAAGGGCTTCTGAGTTACGCTGCGAGTGTTGTTTTCTGCAGCTGACTCCAGCTCCTTGTTTCTTAGTCTCCCTAACGCCAGTCGGGAGATTGGAATTGTTTGGCGCAAGGTGTTACCCAGTGAGTTCCAAAACATAGTTATTAACAGCAATATCGCACATAACAAGCAAACCAAAATGAATGTTCGTGCCGTTTCTCTCATTTTGCCTTTATGAGACTAATGTGTTGATTTAAGACAAGACTTGAGCAAGAGAAATAAACATGTGATCATTATCCGTCACGTATGCGGCCTTGATGTCTCAAACTCTCTTGAAACATTAAGTAGCTTGTATGTGTTTCAGTAAGCAGCTCCTAAAATTAAAAAAACAAAATCTCATCAATTCAAAAGAAATAGTCAATAAAAAGCCTACTTTAACTTAAATATTCTCTGGCACTATGTCTTCAAAAGGACGGACAGTGCATGTACATCAATTATTACTCAACGGTGCTTTTTAAACTACTTACTACATTGCTTAGCCATACTTTTTCACGCTCATGTATTAACTGGTCTCCTTATTTGCTTGCTTCATTCACACAGCCACATTAACTGCAAGATACACCAATACATTGCCAAGTATTGGCTCCCAGGACATCACATACGATACTGCAAGTACTTCTCCTGATCCAAACTTTTTGTATACTTTTGTCAGTTAATTTCCGAGCGCCTTTTGATTAGCTGGTAAAGTTTAAGCGATTGGCCTTGTCGTCCGCTTATCTTTCCTTTTCTTCAACACTAAAAACTAATTTGCGTCCTTTCAAACTTCGTCGCGTCTGTGTGGACCGGATGAATTTGTCAAATGTAGGCAATTTCTCCTGGAGTTGGACTCTAAAGGAGTTTTTTCTGGTTCAACATGAGATTCAGGGAAAAATTCATCGTCGTATGTTCACGTCCTCCACGAAACGTGGTATTAGGTGTGCAGTGGACGTCAAAGAAATGTTCTAAAAAGTGTGATGCACGTGCAGAGGTGTTGTTTTTCTCATAAAACCAATTGTTTTTTGACGTTGTCTTTGCCGTCGTTGTAGCGGCGGTTGCTGGCACTGTGCACCAACTTCATCGGAGACTTACTAGTAATGTTTATCTACCTTTTGTCATTTTATGACAAAATTCACAGTCAGAGATGTTTCAGTTCTTTTGTCTGAGTTTCTGGCCTCTCTTTGTTCAAGTGTTAGGTGGCGGTATCCCCTGGATAAATCACTATCCAGTAGATTAGTATTAGGGAAACGTTTGCGTTAGATTTATTCACTGAATAGCGTTACCCACTTTTTGAACAACTCGGATTTTTTTCCAGACGTTAGCGGGATTCCGGTATCCTTAAATCTGAATTCCGGATTCCAAGGTCCAGGATTCCCGAATGCACAAGCAAAAATTCCCCAGATTAACTTATGTGGGGGCGAAAAACATCGCCTTGATCGTTTCTGACGTCATATAGCAGCCATTGTCGAGAAGTCGCATCCTGAGCGAAGAAAACAGGACAGCTGACAGGCCACCTGAATCCGGGTTTTTTTTTTTCTGTTGTTTTAGTAGAGAAATGGTATTTGGCTCCAACTGAGCTAAGAAAGATAAAGCATCTAGCAAGTTTTAGGGGACACTAAAAGCGTTTAATTACGCATTAAACGTAGTTATATCCATAATGCATTTTCACCTTAGACAACGTTGCTCACTAAGCAAAGGTGTAAGTGTTTATTTAGTCCTCCACGGGGGTGGCGATTCCTTATTTGGCCTACACGGGTATAAGCCGTCCTACAAGGTATGATTTTCAGGGTCTCGTGTCTTGAAAACGGTTAAGAAGTTAACTATTTAGTGCCTTGAGCAAGGTGTCCTCTTGGATCAGAAGCCTCGCCACCATTTTTCAAAATAATACTTAATGAAATGAACGGATTTTTTCATAAACAGGGTCAGCGTTTCAAGCATCGGCGGTACACCCCTGCCCAATCTTTCCTTCAGTGCCTCCCGGTTATCCAGAAGATTTTGAACAACATGTCTCTCTGTATCTGCGGAAACTAGAAAGTTTAACAGACAGGGCTTATTAATTAAACTGCTGAGGGTGTAAGGCGTTTATAGTCCTGGAATAGTAATTTTCTCAAAAGGTGGCATATGACAGGAGACGTCTGCAACACTAAAAATTAAACAATGTGTTTAAATATAGCTCTAGGCAAGTAAAGGACGAGACGATCAGACGCCTAAAATCAACAAATAAACTAAAAAAACTGTAAAATATAAAATGCTTTGTGAAAAAACATTGAACGAAAGGCTTTCGTTCTTCAGTGGTTTATCAGATTGGTACGGTTATTTTCTAGAACACTTACCGTATCTTGCATTACCCCACGTGGACCATTTCTTTTATTTTATAATTCAGTTTTGTTTACCGGTTCAGGTTTGAAAAACAACCGCCGCCTGCTGCTTGACCGTGTGCTTGACAATAACTCGCAAAATGCAAATATACAAGCAGTTCATAGCTACTCAATGACAGGTGTTTTTTAGGATCGTCTCCAATTGGCTATAGATAATATACGTTCGTTTCAGTGGTACCGTTTCCTCCTGGTACGAAGGAATATACTGATCAAAAACACTCCAAAGGGAGAACAGGCTCTTAAGAAGTAGCTAAACGTTTCTTTCTTTCTTTTTTTAATCCTCAGGCTCTGACTTTTTATGCAACTTAAATTACTGTTTTTACAATCCGGGTTCCCACAATAGGAGTCAGACTAAGGAGACGTGTGATAAAAAAACGGAAATACTGAAGGCGAGGGGAGTACAAAAAGCACTCCAAGCACCAAGCTAAGCCCTGTACACTGTATGAATTATAGAGGAAGAACAAACTAAATAACGCTCGGAAGAACCGGTAAGTTAACATCGATCAGAATAGTTGTTTAATTGGCCAGTAAAAGAGATGAGAGCCATGAGGTTTCTCTCAGATTCGTACTCTATAGTAAGGCAGCGGGCCTTTCACACATGAACAAGCAGGCCTACACGGCCGATAAAAAATGTGATGCCGGGTAGCATTGTTATATAGGGAGCTTAAGCAACAACGACGGCAAAGGCAACGAGAACGGCAAAAAAGCAATTGGTTTAGATTGGCAAAACAATCTCCCCATGTAAGGGAATCCGGATTCCAGAATCTTGGAATTTTTCTTCGTGGAATCCGGAATCCTGGGCCTTGGAATCCGAAAAACAGCTGTAGGAATCCGGAATCCCACTAACAACTGGAATCCGGAATCCAATTTCACTGAAAAAGATCTGGAATCCAGTAATTAGAATCCGGAGTCCACGGCGAGGAATCCAGAATCGAAGACTGTTTTTGGGGGGTAGGGCGAAAAACAACAACTTTGTACGTGCATCACGCTTTTCTTTGCCGTCGTTGCACGACTACAACGTGAAAAAGCCCAATTTCACGTTTTGTCGAGGAAGTGAACACAAGACAACGACTTTCATTTTCTTTTCCTGAACTTTGATACAGTCTTTTAGAATTCAACTCTAGAAAAATTTGCCACCATTTGACGAAATGAACGAGATGGACCATGCCCGATAACGATTGAAATCCAAGATTGTAGGTAAGTATATTCTTATGCGACGTCAATACTTTGGTTATCTGTAGTATATGAAATCTGTTATCAGCACATTTTCTAACACGTTTCTGAAAGATCATAATCTTGTTTTTTTATTTATTCATTTATTTATTTTTAATGTGCACGTGTTGAAGTGATGCATAAAAATAGTAGATATGACAGTATTGTAGACCTGTTTCAGTTCGTTAAAATCTTCAGTTATTGAACAATCTACATATTAACTAAAAAAAAGGAGGCTGAGTGACCTCCAAACTTCCCTGTTAAGTCCATAAATCAAATTCAATAAATCATACCTTATTTTAGGAAATTAACGCTCCATTAATTTTAAGTCGTTAATTTCCGCAACGTTAATTAAGTGCAGCGTTAATTTCCGCGCTCTTAATTTCCAGTATTTTAACCCAGATTTAGGAACCTGTCCAGACATTATGCACTTATCAATTGAAACCCCGACCCCCCCCACCCCGGGCCTATGTGGGGCAATGTGGGGGATTTTTATGGTATTTGAAGGGATGGTTAGCCCTTGGGGGTGGGGGATTTCTCAGGATTTGCTTAGCATATTCATGGAAGTCCATGGAAGTCGGGGAGCGAGGTGGGGATTTGACTCGTGCCTAGTTTCCTCACGGTAATTTCTTCACGTGATCACTGGTATTTTGATGTATTGCTCGGCCGTACGTTTCCTAATTGTTTTTCCTTTCATTTCTTCACTGAGACTAATCCTTTGCGATTTTGCCTTGAGCTTTCATGGTTCGTTGACTGGAAATTGTTATTGTTATTCAAAATGTCTCAAACAATGCAGATACAAACTCCTCTACTTATTATAAAAGGTGCTGTGTCACGGCTATCTGGTTCATTTTGTTAATATTGCCAGTTACGTGGTCCCTATTCGCTTTTGAACGTTACGTTGCCAAAGAAATGAAGAAATCAAAGCTTCGTTTTAAACAGATGTTTCTCCCAAGCATTTCAAGCGTTACGGACGAAAACAATGAACTTTGAAAAACTGTTAGGTTAACAAGTTTTCAAAAACCAAAATTTCAATCCGTTTTAATCTTCTTCATGTTTTCCCATCTGTACCTTCTTTTGTATTTGCTGAGTCATTTATACCATCTTTTAATGTCTTAAGCGGTTATTTTTATGTTTCACTCAATTTGGTGGCAGTTCCCACAGCCTACATTTTGGTAAATTTCATGACACAGCTGGTTTAACGTCTAGTGTTAAACCCATGTGGTTTCTGAAGTTCTATATTTCCTCATTCTTTAAGCCAAAATATAAAATATAGCTCCTAGGAACTATTTTATGCAGTCTATTTATAGCATCAGCTTGTGAAGGTTAAGGTGTGTTGGCTGCTATTTTCAATTAAACTTATCATTGCAGATATTACTTTCAATGAAGATGGTACGGATTTCCTTTTAATATAACTTTATAGCAATGTGCTACTCCATCATCCATTTTGTACCCTGACTTTTTTTATAAGTGGGTAGGGGTCATTATGTTTACTTATTGTCAAATATTTGTTGTATTTATATCTTGGTCTGTTATCATATTTGCCTTTTTGCTGTAGTAAATTTGTCAATATTAAGAAGTTGAAAATTCGAACGAAAT